TTGTTTCTTCTTTAGGTATGTGTTGTAATTCGTCTTATACAATCTCATGTCGGCAATGGCAAAAGGCTTATGATGGAGGTAAGTAGGTTGTCACATCTTCCTGTATTAGTTGATTTTCCTCATCGACACCTCTCCAGCTCTTTCTTTTCCCACCATATACGATAAATTGTTAAGGTAAATGGAGGTCCCGGATATTTTCTTGCCATCGGAAACGTTATCGGCTTTGATGAGATTGATCTTCATCGCTCCTTGGTTAAAGTAAGTCCAATTCATTGATTTTTTTTATTAATCTATATATGTGTCTGTCTATTGTCCCGTACTTCTGTTATGTTTTTAACTTCGTTTGGAGGAATCGAATTGTGGTGTGTATTGTGTATTGTGTGTATTTATGTTGCTTTGTTTATTTTTTTTCTTTGGAATTGGGAATTAAACATCGTCGTATGTATATGCAAGCCCAAGCGACGAGGAGTCCTCAATAGAAGAACACCAGACTTGAGAATATGTGTTGGAGGATTTGGTATTTAGGTCGTCAGAAAAAACAAGTTTTTACAACTTTTGTTTACTTAATTGTTAATTTTTTCTACTCAAATTTTTTCTTATGCAATTAGGTGTTGATTCAGTTGGTGAATTTCATCTGAACAATCGTGTGAACTGTTGGTGATTAATAATATCCAGAGAAATGAATGTAGACTTATAACATATGTAGATTGATGAACTTCCTACATAATTATAGGCCGAAAAACTATTCATACCTTTTTGTTTCCAACGTTGTTAACATCTTCATTCTGTTCATCAACTTAAGAATGAAGAAAACCATGGAGTGGCTAAACGCCGAATTGAACGTGAAAAAGGCCGCAGAGAAGCAGTTGCAGATATGTCAGAATACTTATCAGAAGGGGGAAAAGGAGAAAACATCAATGATGTATCTATTCATGGTGAAAGCTGATGGGTTTTGAGCAAAAGAACATCCTATGTGCACATGCAAAACCCTAAAGCTTTGGATCTAGGTTTCTCTATTGTACATGCAAATTTATCCAAAGCTTATAAACCCTAATCTAGCATACTATAAAAACGAGATCTATAATAAAACAAGTTTAGATGATACCTTTCAATAGTTGCAAGAATCTTCAATATTCAAGGAGCTTAGTATCACAAGTGTAATACCTCTAATGGCTTACAAACACCACGAGAAAGAAGATGATCTAGAAGAGAGAAGGAGAGAGGCACAATTTCGGCTATAGTAACTCTAGGGTTTCTTGGTGTAACCGAAACTATTTCCTTGGGGTCCCCTAAATAGCTGAGCTGCTAGGGTTTCAGTCAAAACCCTAATTGGATTACTTAGGCCCTAAGCAGCTTAAGAACCTTCTGGAATAAGGCCCCCTTGGACGAAATTAGAGTGGGCTTTCACTCTAAATTTCGTCCCACTTATATCCATAAGGATTCACAGCCCAAACTCAATTATCTTATAATTGACAATTTCATCCCCCCCTAATTTAATTAATCTCTTTTAGCCACATAATTAATTCTTAACTAATTCTTGACCAATATTAATTAAACTATATGATTTCTCTTTTAATATATTATTCATATAATATATCAAAAAACCATAATAACCTCTCTCTCTCTCTCTCTCTCTCTCTCTCTCTCCATAAGTCATTTTGTCATGTTGCTTTAGTGAAGGCAACCCAAAAGGACCATGCACAACCGGGTCAAGTACATACCAAATATAGTTATGGGCTTAGATACTAATCCAACAAAAGTCACAAAGGTCGTTTGCCCAGAATGCCTTCCTTGGATGCCATGGAAGCATGGGCCAATACACAAAAGGGGAAAAAACTCTATCTTGTATTAATAAGGTATAATCACAATCATATATCTCTCTTTTTCCCTCTTTACCCTTATCAATCAACTAACCTACATTAACATCACTTGTCATGTACTTATGTTACAATCTTCATGGATTAATACGTGGTGAAAACATGGAGCTAGGTCATGATTCTGATACAGGTGGACAGGTACATTTCAATAATTCCAGTCTTACCCTTTTGTTCCTTTTTGTTGATTTGAAGTCATTATTTGTGCTTTCTCTATCAGGTGAAGTATGTAGTGGAACTAGCAAGGGGATTAACGTTGATGTCAGGTGTCTATAGAGTTTATTTACTTACAAGACAAGTAACTTCACCGGAAGTTTACTGGAGTTATGGAGAACTAACAGAAATGTTATCTCCAAGAAACTCAGATGGAATGACAGATGAAATAGGAGAAAGTAGTGGAGCATATATAATCTGTATTCCATTTGGCCCAAAAGACAAATATGTCCCTAAAGAGCTTCTATGGCCACACATCCCTGAATTTGTTGATGGAGCACTTGGACACATCATCCAAATGTCCAAAGTTTTGGGTGAGCAAGTTGGTGGTGGATACCTGTGACATCCCCATTTTCACGGCCAGAAAAGACCGATTTTGTTTATGCTTTATAAAAATCAGAGTACCTCTTTTAATAAAAATGTTGCGGAATTTGTTCCCAGTAAAACATGATAAATACGTTATCAAAGCATTTCCGAAGAAAAGTATTTTTATTCATTTTAAAACATCTGGAATGTCATCGTCAATACAGAAACATAAGCATAAACAGAACTTACATTCATTATCACTAGTGATTTATATCTCCTTAATCTATCAGTGTAATGTGACTTCATATCAACACCTGTGGTATAAATAAACTAAGTGGGTCAGGTTGGGAAACCTAGTGAGTACATAGGGTTTTCAACCCACAATAATATAATTATTATGTTTAAACATCAAACAATCAACCCAATTACCCATCCCCATTATCTTCCTTACTCTTAAGGGTCTACCCTAAGAGTCATATATCCTGCATTCGTTCATTTCGAAGTCCCTTGCTTACAGGGTTTATAAGACATGCACTAATTCCATAGCTGCCAATGCACTAAATCCATAGCTGCTAAAGTTAATTTATCAGGTACTAAATCCATAGCTACCAGTGTAGGTACTAAGTCCATAGCTACCAACACCTAACAGGTACTAATTCCATAGCCACCCGTGTTTACCTAATAGGTAATAAGTCCATAGCTACCAGTGTTTGTCAAATAGCCAGTAAGTCCATAGCTGCCGATGTTATTTATTAGGCACTAAGTTTATAGCTGCCAATGTTTACTCACATCATCTTTTATCTCTTATTATTCATCTACCCATGTCATACCCAACATATTTGTAGATATAAAATACATATACAGTTTAAATCATTTAAAACATGTATAAAATCGTTCATCCAGCATAAATAGCAAGTATATAGATAATATGCACATGTGGCACGTAGTTTATATAAAATACTTCATATCTATGTGTAAGATGAAAGTAACTATGCACTCACTTGTCAAGGTGGTGATTCCGAACTTAGACAGCGTTTCGTTATTCTTGACACAATTTCCTTCGTCAAAACCTAGTATCATTACCACTAGGGTTTAGTCTATCATTTACCGAGACTACTTAATAGTCTAGCTATTATTACTATTATATAAGTGTTAAACAATACTTATATAACCCATAATAATAGCCCAAGTACTTATTATAAGTTCCTAAGAACGTTACTATAATTAATTAGAAGCTATATTAATAATAACGTAGGCGTAGCTCACTTACAGCGGGTTTTATAGAAAACCGGACTTTGCTTGGAGCAGCGTTTCGAAACCGAAAGACCCTTTTTCTCAGGACTCCGGGAGCCTTGGGGCTTCCTTCAGGTGCTAGGGGGTTCACCTAGGCTTTAGGGAGCTCAAAATAGGCTAGAGAGAGAAATTTTTTAGAGAGAGAATGAGATTTGGTGTGAAATGCTCGGATCCCTTCGCAGCCTTTTATAGACGGTCAGCAGCTCGGTTACGCTGCGCGTTCGGAAGGGGAACGATGGGCGTTCCTCGGATAGGGTTGCCAGTTTCGCACCAGATGGCTCGCACATCGGATGGGATAAGACCGAAGCTACGCGGGGCGTTCCGACCTCGTACGCGGCGCGTATGCGAGGCGATTTGGTGCGATCCGACGGGTGCTCTGCGATCAACGATGGACGGCTGAGATGAGGCCACGTCATCGCTTCTCTCATCAGCTTCGCAAATCCGACTCCAAACTTCAAAAATTTGTACCTTTCGCATACGAGCTCCGTTTCCGACGTTCTTTATATTCACGCGTAGGTGGGAACGTACTCTACAACTTTCGTTTAGACTCCGTTGGCTAATTTTGTCTTAATTTTAAAAGTTATATTATTAACAGGCCGGGACAGGGTTAGTCCGTTAATAACCCATAACTTCTTCATTCGACGTCCGTTTTCATCTGTCTTTTTATCATTATGCTACTGTCAACGAGATCTTCGATTCTCGTTTAGGTTGTGTCGGCTAGAAACTGCTCGATCTAATATTCGAACTTCGGGCTATACACTGCTACGCCGAAACTTCGAAAAATCATAACTTCCTCATACGAAGTCAGATTTGGGCGTTCTTTTTATGGACGCACTTAGTTTAACGTATTCTACGACTTTCGTTTAGATTGCTAAGGCTAAATATTGCTCTATCGTAAATTTACTATTTACGCTTCCCCGTGTCGTGTCGGTTCCGTCGCGAAACTTCGACGAGCCATAACTTCTTCGTTATAACTCGGATTTCGGCGTTCTTTATATGTACGAAACCCTTGAGACATATTCTACATCTTGGTTAAGATTATTTATTCTAAATAATCTTTTGTCCAAAAAGTCATTTTCGATCCTTATTATCTCTAAATTGTCTAGCTCGGATCTACGGGCATTACAATACCCTGTATGGCTTGTTGCCATTCATGGTCATATGTTGATGTTGGTGACTCAGTTGCCAGGCTGTCAGGCGGCCTAAATGTTCCCATGCTTTTTACTAGTCATTCACTTGGAAGAGATAAGTTGGAGCAGCTTTTGAGACAGGGGAGATTGACAAAAAGATGAAATCAATGCTACTTATAAGATCATGAGAAGAATTGAAAGTGAAGAGAATAGTCTTGATGCCTCTGAGATTGTTATTACTAGCACTAGACAAGAAATAGATGAACAATGGAGATTATATGACGGTTTTGATCCTGTGCTTGAAAAGAGACTTAGAGCTAGGATCAGGCGGAATGTTAGCTGCTATGGAAGGTTCATGCCTCGTATGGTTGTAAGTTTCCAAAAATACCCTTTATCCATAATCCAATATTATGTACATTTTGTGTTATTTTTGGGAGAATCGCGGAAAAAAAAAACATTTAAAATTTCTTGTCAATTTGTGGTTTAATCTTTTATCCACCATTATATACTTAACTTTTTTTTCCAATAAAATCATGGAATTTTTAGACGTTTTTCTTGATTGACCGGATATAATAGGCAACCTATCACCCGTCTTTTGTTATTCTATCTTCACGGAACAAGTAAGCCCTAATTTTTCGATTTCACATCAGTAATTAAATATTCATGGATTTCCGTATCGTCTCAGTTTACTATTGAATAATTTTATTTTATTTGATTTTTTTATATTTTTTACTAGACTGATTTCAACGGGTTGCTATTCAATCATGGATGGAAGGATGTAGGTATTTCTTTTATTTGGCTTCAATTTGATACCGAAGTTTATTTCTTATTTTTTTTTATCGATTTTACAACTACATTTGTTGTTTTATATGTCTTTAATTTTGGGTTCAATGTTTTTTACCTGCGGTTTTACAGGTTTACAGTCCGACCATAGCACAAACTTATTACATTCATGCCCAGGACTACAATTCAGGGCCGGCTCTACCATTTGCAAAACTAAACAAGGGCTTAGGGCCCCCAATTTTAAATCTTATTGTGTTATATATGTATATAAATGTATTGCTTGGGATACAAAGACAAGTTGAAGTTTGGCTTGGTGGTAAAAGAACTGATTTATAATACTAAAGGTCTCAAGATCGAAACTGTTTGCTTACTTGAAGGGCCCCAATTTTTTTGTTTGCTTAGAGCCTCTAAATTGGTTGAGTCGCTCCTGCTACAATTGCAAATGGTATTTTTATGCCTATGACCAGCAGGTGGTTCGAATGATGTATGATCTTGACAAGAAGGTAGAAATGTATGCTTCCTTCTTTATCTTATAAGACTTTATGTTTTTGTTAACTTGTATCTAATCTTCTTTCATGTTCAGTTATACATGGAGAAGACTGCCCTATATTTGATGAGTACAATTATACAAAGTATGTGGTGTTTGCTTTTTTACAAAGTTTGTCTTATATTTAAAAAATTAATTACATTCTTGCCATTTTCAAAGGTTCTTGAAGGCAGAGCTTATCGTCTAAATCATCCATGGGTAGGAACTATGAACATATCAGAAGTTGATATTATAAAAAATGATGATATGATATACGCAAGGTGAATGGAACAAGAGTATTTTTATACAAGTACTAATTATGGACACCTGGTGAGTAAAATGGGTTCAGAATATCTACCAAAGCTTCTCTTACAGGTAAGGTCATTTTGATCTTTTCTTCTTTAAAAAAGCAATGACTTATAATATCATTATTTTTTTGGATAATTTTATTAATATCATTTGGAATCTGTAATTAAAGCAAAAATATCGGGAGTTATTTCCCTGATAAATAAAGGTTTTAAAGAGACGGAAGCTGAGTTGAATCACCTTGGAAGACCAATTGCAGTTGATGGTGGAGTAAGAATCATTTTTTTTTCAAAATTCTGATTTATTATTTTAAATTGATTGGCAGAGTTCTAACACGCAACAAAGTGATTTCGATGGCCATGGTGGTTCTGAAGCATCATCATATGTCAAAGACCAAGTCATGAAACTATTCTTTCATCACAACAGGTACGACACCTTTTGTATTCATTAGCTAGAAATGATATATAAAAATTCTAGTTATATTTTTTTGGGTACTTAAAGAGAGGTTTAAATTTTATTATGCAGTAATTGATGAAATTACCAACCTTAACGATAAGGTGATGCTTATTCATGTTACATGTGGTTTGTCTACTTTATTTTATTGTGATAAGCAGTTAACCATTAACTAATATTTATTTTTGTCACTTCTTTTGGATCCCATGACATGAAATCATTAAATCATTGGATTTACATAAAAAGAGTCAAGTAAATAGGTTACATTTTTTTTGGTATAAAACAAATTTTCAAGTTACTTCTGGATAACAAGATTGTATTATATATATATATATATATATATATATATATATATATATATATATATATATATATATATATAATTTGCAGGCCAGGACACTATGACGTTTGCAAAGGACTGGAACTCGCTATAATTTTTTCCCAATTCTTAGAAAGTGTTCCAATTTTTAATCAGGTTTACCCTTTCACTCATCATTTCTAAACATTAATGAAACTTCATATATGGGTATTTCAGTACTTTACCAATTTTTACTTTTGCAGCCTCCATACTCCTTTCTTGTGACATTGGAGGAAAAGATGCAAACTCACCCATTTATGAAGCTATACACAAGTTGACATAAGATTTGCATGAGTCAAATGACAATACTGCCCTTGCCCCTTCACCTCTGCCTACCCTATGACTTTCAACAATCGGGATCTCTGGTAATTTGTGTGGAATAATTTATCAATATATTAGTTTTTAACTATTATCTATTATTGACGGTTGTGTAATTGGTTTAGGGTTGCCAAATATATCATGTATATGATTTATTAATTAATTTTATTTTTTTAATTAGTTATTCTTGCAATTTTTTCTTAGGCAAATTTTCGGTGATAGCAATGTGCTTTACCATGAACTTCATATTTCTTAAGCATAAATAGCAACTTTTTGACATAATTTAGTAAAAAAATGAATTTTGTTACTCAATTGTGAGTACGTTTCATAGTAGTTGTGTCACTTTGTTTTCACTAATATAATAATATGTTCTCCTACTTGGTACAGCTTCAAATAAGGGAAAAAAAACAAACACAGCGCCAAAGGCGCAACTAATTCTCCTCTAGTTTGTATTAGTTTATAATGAAATTGGGCGTAAAACTCATGTATTACACGAGTTGATTAAAAAAATAAAATATTAAATATAAATAATAAATATTTTATTAAAATAAAATTTTGAAATAATGAATGAAATTTTGATATAAGAAACATATTAATTGCAATTTAGTATAATATTTATTACATTTGATAGTTTACATATATAAATATAAGTATTATGTAGTTTTTTAATTTTAAAAACAAAAAAAAAACATAAATTGATGTGTGGATATTATTTATTTAAAAGATATCATAAAATGACAAGTGTCAAACTTATTAGAGTTTGACATGTGATAAAATTATCTTCTATAATTATAATAGATTTTAGTTTCATCAATACAGTTGTTTTGGTTTTGAATTACCTCATTTTGTAGCGGCTTAGCCTGATGTATGGTCCCCAATCCATTGTTTTATGTGATGTTTGCATTTTTTTTTTATGGTGAAGGAGTACATCTATCAATTAGTCGACAACTCCATAATTAGTAGAATAAACTTGACGAATCCAAATCTATGTCTAATAATGCCTAAAGTAAAATGTTTCAAGTAAAATAAGTGGCATAAGTCTAATACATCAAGACTTGCAAGCACTACAATTCTGGTCCAAACCAAAAAAAAAAATCACAATAATATTAAAAGAAATCAAATGTCCTTCAATTTTTTCTCTATTATCATCTTCCTACCCACTTAAAAAATTTATGACACTCATATTTAATATTATTATTTTAAAGTTTCAGATGGTCTTTCTATCTATTTCCCTTTTGCCAAGTCATGAAATCGGCTACTTTTAGTTTAGGCGATCACCATCAGTAAAGCTAGAGTTAGAATTGACAATTCTCGATACAACCAGGGTCGGCCCAAGGGCAGGGCCAGCTGGGCCACTGCCCAGGGCATCAATGGACATAGGGGCATCAACTTTTGATTTATTCTTTTGGGTATACATTTCATTTAGGCCCAAGAAATATTTCCTGACAAGGGCACAATTTGAGGTTTGAGAAGGCAGAAGCCAAACAGGAAAAAACTAAAAAGAAAACACGCCTTAAATTTCTTGGTAATCGTGTCTCGCACGCTTAATTCCAAGAGTCAATAGAACCGGAGAAGACGAGGAGACGGGAGCAGTATAAAATATCAATAGTAACTCTGATTTCTTGTTTCAATTTTTTTGTACTTCTCCCTTAGTCCCTTTACAGCTTTACACTACCGAGAAAACCGAGTTCTTCTTCTGATTTTGAGTTTAAATTTGAAGTTATTAGTTTTCTGGTTAAGTGAAAGGATAAAGCACATGAAGTAGTATTAGACTGTAACAATTGACTTCAATTGGTCTTATTAATTATTATTAATATTAGTTCTTTTTTTTACAGTAGTATTGCTAACATAGGTTTTGCATTAAGTATTGTTTATATTGATTCTGAATTGATTGTGATTTCTGTTAATCTCCATAATTTCATTAGTTCTGACTTCTTATTTTTGGAATTTTGTTAACATTGATTGTTGATTCTGATTTCAAGATTTAATTTATTTTTATTTATTTATTTATTAATTTTTTTGTGAATATTGGTTTTGATTTCTAGAACCCTTCTTGCGTTTAGGACGCAATACACCATTTTTGCTTCTTGATTTATTAGTTTAAGCGAGACTTGTTTCTTTTTGTTGCTGTTTTCCTAGTTTTTCTTGACAGAAAACTACACAAGGATCTCATTTGTTCATATGCTTAATTAACGTTTCATTTTTTTCATATGTTTTGTTGAAAGTTATTGCTTTATTTCCTTTCCACACAAATGCTTTCTGTTTTATTAAGTTATAGAAATTCATTTTTATTTATTTAGTTTTGTTGTCATTCGTCATCAAAAAACTGTTGAAAGCGTTAAAATCTTTATATATATATATATATATATATATATATATATATATATATATATATATATATATATATATAGTCTTTTTAAATATCATATTGCCTTTTGGATTATAAATTAGGTAGATAATATATTGATGAAACAAATGAGACTTTTTAACTCTCAACGATTTCTAATTTCATGTTTTGGGTTATGTTGAACAATATGCAAATTATATAATTATTATTAAAGGATAATTGATGTTTTTCTTCAAGATTTTTAATCCTCATTAATGATTTCTAACATTTAGTTTTGTATTTTTGTTCGAATAAGTTATCTATTAAAAAGTTCTTTTAAGAAGCTTCTTAAAAAATTATGTTATAAAATTTGGAAATTGTAGTTATGTGGTATAAAAATAGGGCATTGTTTTCTCTATTCGCGCAGGGCATGGAATTCCATAGGACCGGCCCTGGATACAACCCGCGACACGCCACGAAATAAACGAGTTTGGGTTGAGTTTTTCAACTCGCTAACCCGTCAAACTGTTTATTAAACATGTCATATATGAATTTCTTAAAGATATACGGGTTGACCCACCATTTAGAATTTTTAATAAAAAAAATTATATATTTTTTAAATGTATTAAATATTATACACTATACAGGTATAGTTTATACTTTCTACTAGAATAGGATGCCCGATACCATTGATCATTTGGCATTTGGCGTTTGCCCTAAATAATTTCAGTATCTCACAAACAAAATCGAAGAAGTCTTCTTTCGCTCTCCCCTCTGTGATGAACGACAGACAGAACAAATGCACAAAGAACGGCAGCATGAATGATTGAATCATTATCGAACGATGCCGATGTAGACAATCCATTTGTTGCGATCCAACCCATAAACACACGAACCCAAATCTGACCCACGAACCCTTCAACCTGTGAACCCGTATAAATAAATGGGTTTGGGTTTATGTTCCAAACCGTTAACCCGTGACATGTATAGTTAAATGAGTTGTGTTCGGGTTAGTATATTTTGACCCGCCAACCCGAACACGACACGATTGTCAGGCCTAGCTAGAGTTGTGTTTGACTTCAGAAGTTTATATATATATATATATATATATATATATATATATATTCTCAAATCATGCATAAACATTGTGTTTGTTTTCATGAACTAATAAAACTTTAAGGCTATAAGAAACGACCAAACCATCCATAGCGACATAAACATTAGTTAATATTAATGAGACTGAACAGAGCATATTAAACTGCGTTTATCATGAATTGAATTAGAAAAGGTTATACGGCGTTTAGATGGGAGTAGGTACAAAAAAGACATGAAAGATGAGTAATCATATCCATGAAAAATCAAGTTAAACCATAACAAGACTAATGATACAATACAAGAGGAGCAATTATGAGACCAAGAATCTATTATAAAGAAAAAAACAAGAACAAATCATACAAATATTTACTGGTATCCCATTCATTCTCCAACCAAACAAACCCATGCCCGAGCATGGGATTGGAGTGAAGAACGTTTCAAGGACTCGAGAAGAGAAGAGGTACAAGAATTAAAACGCACACTCACAGAGAGGGACATAGCATAGCTGTAGCTGCATCTGTAGAATATGGTGAGTTAAAATACAGTTACACTTTTGAAAGAGCAATTGCAATTCCATTCACGGCTTTAACAGATTGAAAACCAACATTTTACTCCACTTTCGTTCTGCCTTGTTCAAGTTGCGCCTTCTTGGGTTCCGCTGGAAAATATTTTATGCCCACCATGTCACCCACTCTACTTATAACCTGACAGATTCACCTCACTATGTTATACTCAAAACACATGCTACTACATTGTATTGTAGTAAACAAACCTACACATACAGCACCTAGCTAAAGGTCTCAATATTATATTACCTCATAAATATATCATATAAAATGTCAATTTTGGGTTATTGATACATACTCAAATGTACGATACCAAAGAAAAAAACTAACTCAGTTGCTTTCTTCGGATTATTACTTTTGTACTGGTATTTTGGGAGCATATTTAATATATAAATATTTATGAAATTCTAAGATGTTTGACAAAAAAAGTGTAGGCATGTCATGTGTAACCTCTCAACTCGTTTTGACCAGCCTTAAACTTCACCGTATGTATGTATAAATTATAAAAGCATCCAAAGTATGGTTTTTACTTTTTTAAGATTAGCTTTTTTAATGCTTGAAAAAGCTTCTGACCATTGGGTGGGGGTCATTTTCCTTTTTAAAACCCCACTCATGTGTAACTTGTACAAGCAACTTATTCACATTCGTTTTATTTTTTATTTTACATCATTTTCAACTTTTATTATATGTTTTTTTTTCATAAAGTGTAAGAAATATTATAAGCAATTAAACGTTATTTTATTTTAACTACTTGGAGGCATAAATATTAAAAAAAAAGTTGGAAATTCTGTAACGCTCAAAATATCAAACATCAAATATATGTTTTTAGTTTTGTAAAAATATAAATATAAAGAAGTTAGAAATTTGATAACATTTAGAAATACATAAATAGTATAAAATCAGAAATTTCATAATATTTAAAAATATATAAACACTTATTATTATTTTAATATTTATTATTGTTTTAACACTTATTGTAATTGTAATATAATTAATATTAAAGATATATATAAATTAAAATTGGTGGGACCCATGAAAAAGCTGATGAAAGATTTTTGTTATGGTGGAGAGCACAAAAAGCTGTAACAAAAAAAATTCACCACTGCGGATGCTCTAACAACCATACGAGGCAAGCCCAATAACAAATGTAAAACGACCAAAAGGTAAGAAATTATAAAAAAAGAAATAAATTACGTAAAGGTAAAGGTAAAGTTTTTACCTCTAAGGCTTTGATCATGTCTTCCCGTGTATGAGCAGCAGAAATGCATATACGTGCCCTAGCTAACAGTAGAGGAGTTGCTGGAAATGCAACAGTAACAACCGCCACCTGTCACCATACATGTACAGCTCAATCACAATTCACAAACCATAGTCTCCTAAAGAAAACATAATTCATAACAAGATTTAAATATATATATATATATATATATATATATATATATAGAGAGAGAGAGAGAGAGAGAGAGAGAAATACAAGAAACATACATTCCGTTTGAGACACTCCCTTGAAAAGGCAGGGATTTTTGCAGGATTATAAAGCATTATAGGCATTACAGGCGAATCGTTGTCCCCTAAAACCTCAAACCCCATTTTCTGCAATTCTGATCTAAAATAGTTGCTGTTCTCACGAATTTGAGCAAGCTTCTGAGCACCTATTTTGGACAAATAAAAAGTGAAAAAGTCAGCTAATTATTGTGCGAATGATTAAATAAGTGCTGAGAATTATAATTATAATTATTTGGACCTCGACTAGAGCCATCCTTTCCAAGAATAACCTTTATGGAAGATATAATTTGTTGAGCAGCAGGAGGTGATATGGATGTTGCATATAAATGAGCAGGACAGGTATATTTTAAATATTGAATGAGTTCCTGGAATCCAAATAGATATGTCAGCGCACATTTCATTTTATCACATGGAACAAAGAGTCATTTTATTAGAGAGCAACTACAAAAAATATATATATTATATTATATTATATCATGGGCAGTTTTGCAGTTTAACCACTATTCCACTAATACTTAATTTTTTACAGAGTAAGTTACATTTTTCATCCCTGAGTATAGCTGTTTTTTTCAATTTTGGTCCTAAATAGTTCTCTTGCAGCCTTGATCTTTATTTGAGATTTTTGTAACGTTTTTTGGACACTGCTCTAACTAAAACGACTATATTTTGGGACCAAAATTGCAAATTTCAGCTATATTCAAGGACCAAAAATAGTCATTTTACTTGGAACAGGGACCAAAAACTAGCTATACTCGTTACTCAGGGACCAAAAATGTAACTTACTCCTTTTTCGAATCAAACCACGGAAGTTTCAGATATTTTTTCAAATTAACATTTTTCACATGTTATATAAGGTTTGAGGTTACACTGCTAATTATGTTATATCAGCTTTCAAATGTAATTTTCCAAATTAACCATTTTGACCAGTTATATATCATGTCAAAAGGATTAATTTGGAGAAAAAAATAAAGTATTAAGTGGTTGAAACGCAAAATTGCCCAAAATATTATGATTTTTCTGTAATTTGCCACTTTACCCTCTGTAAATCATGTGTGAAACGAAACAGACCTTTGATCCTGCTATATAACCACCACATGATCCGAATGATTTTGTAAAAGTTCCCATCATAACATCCACGTCAGCAGTATCCACTCCTAAAAGCTCACACACCCCTCTTCCTGTTTTCCCAACTGCTCCAATACTGTGAGCCTCATCCAAATACACGTACGCCTGTTACATATATATATGCAGCATATAAATAAGAACAGTGTCCAGTTTTTTAGTAATAACATGTTCTGGAATTTTATTTTTATAGATTTTAAAAGTTAAAACAAATGCATCACCTTATATTTTTTGCAAATGGAAACAATTTCCGGAAGCTTGCAAATTTCGCCTTCCATGCTGTATATTCCCTCAACCACAACAATGATTTTCTTCCAAGGTCTATGTGTTCTTGGTTGTCCATCAGCAATGTGTTCTCTCAAGACTTTCTCCAAATGAGAAGGTGCTTTAGATTAAAAAAAAAAAGAGTAGTCAATATAATACAATTAATAAAAATAAAAATGCGGGTATTTTAGATAGAACTTTAACCGTGTGGATAGACTTACTGTTATGCTGAAATACCCTAATTGTAGCACCTGACCCTCGAGCACCATTTACAATAGAGTTATGGTTTAAAGAATCACTAATTATTAACCCTCCCTGTGAAAATCCACATAAAAATGAAAAACCATATAAAAAAATGTTATAGAGATTGATTAGTTATGATATATCAGGACTTACTTTTCCAATCAAGACAGGAAGGATAGCAGAGTTAGTGACATAACCCATGCCAGTAACTAAAGAAGCTGGTTTTCCAACAAAATCAGCCACCACCTCCTCCAATTCAGAGTGCAGTGCTGTTGTGCCTAAATAAATTTATACAAAAAAAAAAAGGAATTCAAATTTTATTCACGATAAAACTACTACAAATAGTCAAAAAGAATTATACCTCCATCAACGCGACTACTGCATGTGCTTGCAAAGTATTTCTTCAAAGACTCGATTACACGAGGGGTGCAATATTCATCTGCTGCAGCAAATCCAAGGTAGTTGTATGATCCCAAATTAAGACACCTGCTAACTTTTTTAGTTCGCCTGCAAAAATATATAAATTTGGTAATTTTAGGATAAGTTGTGGGGACAACTTTTTCAAAGATTCATTATATACAAGGAGAACTGATGAGGACATAAATGATAACATGTCATAATAATGTTGCAAACATATAATGTGTGTTTGAACACTCACTTGAGTGTCTTGTTATTATCATTGGAAACACGCTCCACCACATCAAACCAAGCATCAGGGGGGCTTGATATAGGTCGTCCAAAACAATCCTACATATTAAAAAGCAAACTTAATTTTTCAGGCAAGAAAATTAAACCAGATATCAACATGAAAAGCAGGCAGACAGATAATTTTACTAGAGCTTTACTTAAAAGGGTGATAATGAGACTAACAATTGCATCCCCATTGGATCTTTTAGAGATTCAGTATCAAGAAAAACTCGATTTTTGCCAAAAAAATATATATTTATATAGTCCACATTGTCCAAAAAAGTAGTCTTGACTCCTTTTAGGAATAACCAACATGTCCAAACTTACAGCTCCCAGTGTGTTTAGATGTGGATTTACAAAGTAGTTATTGCAACTTGAAGGATAAAAATCAATATCCCTTATAATCCATTTGATTAAAGTAAGGATTGTTAGGTAGCTTACAGTTATCTCAATAATCAGCTTACGGAAATTCCTTACCTACTTGTCCAAATCTAACTATTTTGACCCAAAATAATCATAAAATCATAATCAATTAATCATAAACGCTTTTTGCCAAACACTCAATTGCTTATTGCAAACAATCACTTTAAACACACATCCAAACAACCCCCACCCCTGATTAAATGAATCCTTTCGATACTAAATTTGGTAATTAGATCCCCTCTCCGAGCAATCAACAATTACTTGTAAATTGGTTGAGGAGTTGCAGGCAAATTCAAGTACGCACTAGATCCCCTATCTGAGCTTCCATTTTATGATTTCCAACTCGTGAGTTAGATCCCAATCCAACTCAAATCGCATCTTTACAGGGATCTGCCTCGGTACGTGCCCAGATACATTCAATAACGTGCATATTCTTTCTGGTTGATCAAACTAGCCTTTTAGCATGTCCCTTACTAATTAAACAATCCCAATCATGCTTTATGAATTACAAAAAACAAATCAACTAACTGAAAACGTTTCCAACTGCATCATTTCTATCAACAAGCATAACAAACCGAGCAACAAAAGCGCAAATTACGTTTACCTGAATACGAAGATAGAGGCGGCGAATATAGAAATCTTCTAGCCCTAAGCAGATCGGTGCATATCCCTGATAATACATAACAGAGTGATCATTTTAAGCATACTAACAACACTTTTCAATGGGAGAAACGCCTAAGCGAAAGCAAAAGTAAGATATGATGCACCTGAAGATTGCTAGCTTTCCACCAGTCAACGATATTACGGAAGAAATCGCGCAATTGACCAAAAGCGAAGAGCAATCCGTAGCTGAAGTAGGTTGTCAAGGCAGTTATATACGGAATCGTGATCATCTTGACGAGTAAATGACGGTCCCTTCAGTAACGAAGTTGTTATGAGATCGAAGATCGGCAAGGAAACACAACGCCGGCTACTTCAGAGAGAAGGAGAGATTGAGTGATTGGATATGAGGAAGTGGAACTTTCTGCTTCCGGTGGCTTTCGATTGATTTAAGTTATATATAATTTCTCCCTACACTAATACTTCATTGTAGTTTCAGCCCCTCTACTTTTAATTATTCTTTTTTCACCAATTGGGCTCTAATGGGCTCTAGTTAGAACCAGCAAAAATCCGTCAACTCAACTTGAGCTTGTCTAACCCATTAAACTAAATGAGTTATTATCCGACTAAATAAAATAAATGGAAATTTAAATATTCTTCAATATTCTCTTTCTATTCATTTTTCTTAATACGTTAAAATATTATTAATTTTATTAAATATGATACATATTAATATTTAATATGGATAGGAAGATGAATAAAAAAATATAGACCGATATTTAACTTCAAAGAAATGTTATGTTTTTTTTATTATTTTAATCTTTGTTTAGAGATTCATTGTTATTAGTTTTTTATGTTGAAGATTTCAAGATTAAATAGATATTGTTTCAATCATAATTGTAGATATAGTTACGGTGTTAAAGTTGCAAGTTGCATCAGGAGTTTAAATAGTAACTTTTATGATTCAAAGGTATCATGAGATAGGAAGTCGTTGGTTTTTTCATATGTGCACCACAACATTAAAGGTAGGAAAAAGAGGAAGCCAACAAAGTGTATTCCAATTATTTTCTAAAAGTATTGAAAAGATCTCATCTTTATCCATAATACACATACAAATCCAACGGACATCAAAAACCTAATTTTGTGGAATAAAATGCAATATTACTTGCATTTATAATCAAGAGTCTATGTTTGATGTCGCCTGATTTCATGTCCAAGCAGAACTTTAAACATTCTCCATCCACCTTGCATATCAACCATCAGGATAGGTATTATATTCTTATTTATAGCATTAAACTTTCAAAAAGTCTACATATTAAGATATTGTATTTTTACTTTTAATTCCATTTAATACATCATACTTTGAAGATCTACTTAATTATGGAATTATATTATGACGTAAAATCATAGTCTACTATGCGTTGTAGTTTTAGGTAAACCACAATCATCACATCTCATTTAGTTTTGTTTTTGCATCAGAAAGTTTCCTACTTTTTAGTCTTAGTAAGTCATTTTACATGCACAAATAGAAACACAATTTTTTCATAAAGTTTCTTACTTACATTTTGTTGATTAATGTAGCATCTTGCTTTTATTTAACATCCTTTTTTATTTTAGTTAATGTTTAATATGCTAGAATCAGATATATTGATATTTGCTAATTTGTTGTTAACCAATTGCTAACCATTTGAATGCAACTGTCACTTCCACGTGGAAAAAACAGAAAATACAATAGAAAGTTGAATTTTTATGTTTTTCTAGGTAGTTTTGAAGGTTAATAGAGAAAAGGAAAAAGTATGTAGCGTCCAACTACTAAAAGTTATTTTTATTTTATTTTTCACATACTTGCTAAAATCAAATACATATTAGGATGAAAGTTAAACTTTTTTTTTTATGAACGGCAGATGATGTGAAAAAAGTTATATGGAGTGTGAAGAAGTAGCTAGGGGTATCTTTGGTTTTAGGTGGAACTTGTGGCGCTAGCTTTGGGTGAGTGAAAAAGGAGGGTATTCACTAAAAAGTGCACAATGGAGAGGCCCAAGATAAGACAATCGGATGAAAGTTAAACAATCGATGTGCATTGTTATAAAAATTTAGTTTCTTGCATCCTAGTTATAAAATTTTAGTTCCTCACGTCCTATTTTCATTTTGTCTTAATGCAACATATGAAGAAAAAAAAAAAAGTCGTCAATCTATCAAGTATGAGGTATGAGAAAATCCGGGAATCCAAGAATATAGGATAAACCAAGCCCATATGGTTATGAACCAAGAGAATTTCTAAGAACAAAACTATGGGTCATCAAGTAAAACTATGGGAATTTCTAAGAATTTAGAAGTTTTAGTTTCATATAGATTGATATGCTTCCAAATTTTGAGAAGTTAACCCACATATAATTATAAGAGTATACAAATGAAATTAATCAAGACATTCTTATGTTTGTAATCCAAACATGTATCTCATTAGCACTTACTTCTCATTTGGAAATCCACTAAATCGCAATGATTTCTCAAACTCAATAGTTCAAATGATAGAACCATTATTAGTTCTTACAACTTAATCCAATATGATCTTCTAAGAAACAATCATATGATTCCAAATTTAGAATACTCAAATTCCACTCATAGTCCTTTCAACTTCATATTGAATATTTTAATATTCACCAAAACCTTTATCTTGTTTTGATGAATTCCAACCAATATTAGTCGATTTAATGGAAATATCTTCTTCGAATATAGAAGTAACATTTGATTCTAAATTTCCAAACAAGAAATCAGTACATATTTCTATTGAAATCATAGACCATTATGTTCTAACTGATTCTCATATTCTTTGGATCTATCTCCTTTCATTTTTCTCTCGAAAATACATATATAACCTAGTGGCTTACATCCTAGAGGTATATCCACTAGATTTCATGTGTGATTTTGCAAGATAAAATCTATTTCACTTTTAATTGCCTCTCTCCATTGAGGTATTTCGTAGGAATCTTTTTCATTGTTAATTCCTTTTTTTTTGAAAGTTTGAGGCTCTCTTTCAACCATATAATTGTAAGAATCATCTCCAAAAGATTTCTCAAATCGTGCCCTTTTACTCCATTGAGACTAAATTTCTTCCTCCAATTCTTCTTCATGAGAAAATTTGTTATGCCCAATTATTTTTTGGAGCACTTATCAAAACATAAAAAGCACATTTGCGTTTGTCGATTCTATTAGCATGCCTTTATAAATCTCCAACATTTTAGAGTCATATAGAGGAATATAATAAGAACTACTATTGTTTTGTGCATAACCAATAAAGATGCAACCAACAATCTAATGTCCAATCCTTACAACCTTGGGGTTATGTATAAAACCTTTGTGAGACACCCCCATATTTGAATGTATTTGTAAGATGATTTTATACCCGACCGTAAATTAGATATTTTTTTTCCCGTTTTCTTTTGGGGTACCTTATTTAAAAGGTAATTAGTTGACAACACAACTTCCCACCACATTAAGTGTGGCAACCCAAAACATAAGAAACAACATGACATTCATCATTTCATTTAAGATATGATGTTTCCTTTTGGTGATGCCATTTGTTATGGTGAATAAGGTGCCTTAAGCTCATGTTTAATACCATGAGTTGTAAAGAATTCCTCAAATGGTGATGCATATTTGCATCCACATTGACTCTTTTTGTTGAGATGATTCTCAACCTCACTTTTGTACAATTTAAACTTGTACATCTTTACTTTTAAGTAAATTAACATAACAAAGTTTAATGCAATCGTCAATAAAAGTGATAAAGTTCTTATATCACCGTTATATGGATTCGACTTCATATCACACACATTTGTGTGAATTAATCCAAGGGGTTTAGTTGTACTTTCAACGAACTTGAATGATTGGTGTATTAATTTTGACTCAACACAAGTGTTGCATCCATATTTTGACTTATATGAAAGTGAGGCATGTGTTCAAGTTTGATTAACCTTCTTAACGTGTCAACATTAACATGTCCAAATCTAGCATGTTACACATTAGAAATTTAAGCAAGTAAGCGGAAGACTTATCCAACTCATTGATATTAGGCTCATTAGCTAATGTATGGAATTTAAACATTTCACCATCCGCATAACACTTGCCTACAAACATACCATTTTAAGTTAGTACAAACTTATTGGACTCAAACACCAAACAAAATCCATGTTTGTTGAAAAACTTGTCACACCCCCGAACCAGACGGCGGAAACGTCCGGGGGCTTGTGCGTGACTTCATCTTGAAATATCATTACAGTGAATATAATTGAAACGTAACATCATCATCATCACACATGTAATATAACAACATTCATTGTTTACATAGAGTATTATATTTGAATATTACATGCCAAAATAGTAAGAGTATGATGAAACAAAATATAACACAATATCCATTAGTTTGTTTCGTTCATCCTGCTTCAACGGTTTTCTGAGAATACAAGTTATTCTGAAAACGGACAACATAAAAATGTTGGTGAGTTCATAAGCATGTTTGTGAAAATGATTTGTATAACTTTGAAAACCACCAGAAAATCCGATATTTTCTTAAAACTGTTTAGTGTGTTTGTGTTAGATCTTGTATTAATGCATGTATGTTATTGTTTATTTGACTAAAAAGGTAAAGAGAATGTAAGAGCATGTAAAGAGAATGTTCCCAGACAACCCGATGTTGCCTGTAAAAAAAAATGGTCTTCCATAAACTTCATAACGTTAATTCCTCTAAGCGAGCCGTCATAACCATACTAAATAATGACAATTTCACCTGTCTTGGCGTCGTTGGATGCCAGTTTTGACTTTGATTATAAGGTTTTCGTCACCCTAGACTGAGTTAGTCTAACTGTAGCGAACAGCTCAGGTGTGGGGTGTCATCCCCGTATAGATCTATACACAAATCCCCGTTCTCCCTCCAAGAGACTCTGGTTATAACTACAGGCTACGATCGTACACTTAATAGGTGCCAACCGACAAAAACTCACTAGATCCTTAATCGAATTTACGCGAAGAAAAAGGTATAAACTCCTTCCAGGCCCAATGATCCATGTAAGTGAACCACTAAGGCATCGCTAAACATGTAAATCATTTCAAGACCCAATTGGAATGAGATTATATAACATGGGCCCGAAATATATATATGAAAGGACAACTAAAGCCCATTTCACATGTAAAGTATTTACAGGCCCAAATGGCACACAAATAGTATCCAAGGTCCGTCGCACATGTTAATGGGTCAATGAGGCCCAATAAACATATACAGGACCTCTCACACATAAAAATGGGCCACTAAGGCCCAATAACCTAGAAAATGATCAAATTAAATCCATTTGTTGGTTTATCAATGGTTTTGGCTCAAGTATTTACTAAAACATCATAAAAAAAGAAGAATGCATATAAAACCCATTCCCAGGCCCAATAAACATGTAAGTGGACCACTAAGGCCCACTATAC